TTTTCTGTGTGTGTGTTTCACTTTCTTTCTTTCTTTCTTTTTATTTTTTTGAGGCAGAGTCTCACTTTGTTGCCCAGGCTAGAGTGAGTGCTGTGGCGTCCACCTAGCTCACAGCAACCTTAAACTCCTGGGCTCAGCAATCCTCCTGCCTCAGCCTCCCCAGTAGCTGGGACTACAAGCATGTGCCACTATGCCTGGCTAATTTTTTCTATATATATTAATTGGCCAATTAATTTCTTTCTATTTACAGTAGAGATGGGGTCTCACTCTTGCTCAGGCTGGTTTCGAACTCCTGACCTTGAGCAATCCACCTGCCTCAGCCTCCCAGAGTGCTAAGATTACAGGCGTGAGCCACCACGCCCGGCCCGTGTGTGTGTGTGTATGTGTGTGTGTGTGTGTGTGTGTGTGTGTGTGTTTAAATGAAATCTTTATTTATGTTAAGATCATGAAGAATTTTTCTATCTTTTCATCTCATGTTTTAAATTCTGCCTTTTTTTTTTAAAGTTTTGTTTTTAATCCACCTGGGATCGATCTAACCTAGAAATCAACTTTGTATTCTCTATATGGTTAAAAGTCATTCCTACCCCTCATTCAATCAAATAGACCACCCTTTCCACACTGAGGTGTAATGTCATCTCTGCCCTATCTTGTTTCCAAACACGGGGGCCAGGGCTGGTCTCTTGATTCTGCTGCCTTAGTTTGTCCTTGTGCCCAAACTGTACTGTCTTCTTTATTAAATATTTTGATAATAAATCTTGAAATCTGGTAGGGCAAGTTCTTCCACCTTGAACTTTTTTCAAAATTGTTTCTCAGTTATTCTTGGCCCTTTGTTCTTCCAAGGGAATTTTGGGATCAGATTGCCTAGTTCAAAACAAAACAAAAACCAAACCAAACCAAACAAAATACCCTATTGTACTTCAATTGAAATTCTAGAGATAAATTTGGGAGGAATTGACAACTTTATGATTTTGAATCTTCCTTTTTATTCATTATCTGGCATCTGGCATGTGCTTATGATCTCCAAGCCCCACACTGGGACTCCTAATTTCTCCTCCTCTCCCCTCTCCGACCCTTCTTACTTCAACTCAAGCATCATGTACTTCCTACTTCTTGGTGTAGTTTCAGCACCTGTCCTTGTAGAACCACCATCTCTTTCAGAGTCTCCTGATTCTTCCAGCTCTTCTCGCTGTGCACACATCACAATGGTGGGAGGGGCAGGGAGAGAGTTCTGGTAGTCTCCTGTGAAGAGACAGGGAGGCATCGTTCCAGATGCGGTGGGAGGATTGTCCCAAAGGTCCAATAAGTTTGTGAGCTTTGGGACATGGTATGTGCATTGGTTAACAGCCCAGTGTGCTCATCCTGAATTCCTGAACATTCATTTACCAGCTCTGGGCAGATTTGGGCAAATTACTTAAGTGTGCGGTGCCTCAGTTTCCCCTTCTGTAATGTAGAAATGAAAATGGTGATTATCTCATTGTATAATTGTGAGAAATAAATGTGTTCATGTATGTAAAGTACGTGGGACAATGCCCAGCATTGTCAGGCATTCTAGGTGCCTGATATGCATTATTTATTACTGTTATTACTGAGATAGGATGTCCAAGGCACACTGGGAACATGGTTAGCTTGAATGTTCAAATTAGATAATGTCAGAGTAGCTCACGAATCTTAACACCAGACAAAGAACTTGCTGGTTAGCGTTGTATGTTCTCATTAAGCACAGGGGCACCATCCGTAGAGTTGAAGGTTTAATCATTAGTGATTCCCAGTGGTGTTAGTTTAGCGTTAACCATGTTGCAAATTTTGCAAAATCGATGAATTCAGGAATGGTGCCCAAGATAATCTAATCCAATTTCCTACCTCGTGCTTGAAACCTCTTCCAATAAAGCTTCTATAGAAAAGGCTGATTTTTATGAGACAAGAATCAGAAAGGCAGGAATATTGGAAGAACATCAGACCTACTCGAAAAATAAAACTAAAGAGATGGTAGAAAATAGCGAAAATTGATAAAGGTTCAAAGGTTGCTGGGAGTAGCCATTACGAGAGACTGAAAGTGAGGGTCTGTTTCTAGAGAGCAGACAGCCTAGGTCCAGGAGAGAGTCTATCCAGGAAACCAGGGAGTATTTCTTAAGATTCTACATTACTGCAGAAGTGGGCCACCTGGGGCCTTAGAACGTCTCTCTCCCCCTTCCTGCCACCAGGCTGCCTGGGCTCCTGATATTTTTGCCCCCTTTGGGTTAAGACTTTGGATGCCCCTATTGAAAGGAAATACACGTATAACTTATGAGAAGTGAGCCCACATCACCTAGGAGACCCTCAGATTGAGGGTCTCCTTGGCCTGGGCCTAGCTGAGAGCAGGTTATAGGGTACAGATATAGCAAAGGCAGCTCTGCTGGCAGAGGGGAAGCGAAATGCTCAGGGTGTGGGGCCCTGTTACAGGCAGGGAAGGCCAGGCAGACGCTCAATGAAACCAGAGGAGGGGACGGTAGGGGATGGGGTGGGGGAAATACAGTCTCAGGGTGTGGGTGAGGGTGTGGGAGGGGACGGCTAAAGAGTGCATGGAACCACCAACATCGAGTTACTTCTCCATCTGGCTGAAAGCTGGCTCTGGCCCCCAGAAGTTCTTTTCCAATGACCTAAGCAGCCACAGACCTGCGGGGAATCTTCCCCCAACCCTAAGCAAACAGGATTAAATCCAGGACTTCACATCACCATGTGGGATTTCCCTCAGAGGCTCAGACTCCAGAATTAGAGATTCTTACATGGTATATCCCTGATAATAGCAGCACTTCATTGTGTGCAGCTCTCCATGTTTACAGAGCACTTAACCATCTCTTTTGCCCCTCCTCATACCCCTGGGGGCTAGACAGGGCAGTATTATATTCCCCAAGCTCTGAAAATAGCTGAGGGTCAAAGAAGAGAGCAAGAGGTCACACTGATCTTACATTGGGGTCCCCACAGCTGTAGGAATGTAGCATCAGGCCAGGGGGTGAGTTGGTGGAGAACAAGGCAGTCCCTCACCCCAGGCCATTATATTGGGGTGGGGCAGCCAGGGCTCACTCCCACAGGGAGGGGCTGCTAAGGGGGCTGTCACCCCTGGGAGAGGTCACGTGCCTGGGTGTGGGCACACAGCACAGCCATGAGCTCACTTCCCGCCCTGGATATAAAATTCTGGGTTTGAAGTTCTTTTCCAACAACACTTTAAAATATTACTTCATTATCTTCTTGTAACCAGTTTTGTTATCAAGATTTTATGTCAGTCTGATTCTTTTCCTTTTTAGTTGATCTATTTTTTCTTTATAAATATTTTGGGAAGTTTCTCTTTTTTATTAATGTCATTAAATTTCACTATTGTATATTTAGGTGTGAGTTCCTTTTTAGATCTGTCTTGTTTAATATTAGGAATCCTTTCAATCTGAAGTTTTATATTTTCTTTATTTCTAAAAAATTCTCAGCTATATATCTTCAAATATAGCCTCCCTCTGTTATTTGCTTTCCCCTTCTGGCTCCAAAGCCAGTGCCCGTAACCACTACCCTGACCCCCCTCTCTGAAAAGTGCACCTCTCTGTGTAGGCCCTGACTCGTCCACCACACTGGGAAAGGCAAGGATAGAGTCCTATTTTGTCTTTGTACTCCTGATGCATCAGTGCCTGCTGTGTGCTGAACGAACGAATGAATGAATGAATGAACTAAGAAATTGGAGGGGTGGAGGTGGCCACAGGGCTGGAACAGGAGGTGCTGTGGGTGGAGCAGGACCTAAACAGACACAGGGATAGATGACCCGAGGTCAAGATGTCCCATGGTCAAAGATGGATGTCCCAGCCACGTGGGGGCGTGACTTCCCTTGTCCTCCCCACTACCCAGCACTATGTGCTAGCGAGAGACTTAGAGGGAGCAGCCTTCAAACCCACCTCGACTAACCTGTATGCACTTTAGAGTATGCAAAGGGCTTTTCTCCTAATTATTCCCATACTCCTGCAAGCAGGTGTTGTCACCTTCCATTCACGCATGCAGAAGCAGGTGCGGAGAGGGAATGTGGTCACAGGCTAGAAACACTGGATTGAGGAGTCCCTGGATTGCTCATATTCAAACCCTGTGCATGTGTCTTTCGCTGCCTCTAGGTGTTGGAGTGGAGATGCCTGTGCACGTAGGTTTTGAAAAAGATTTCTCCAGACAGAAATTAGGATAGAAAGAAAAGGTTTATTACTTTTCCATGGGGGGAAGGGAAAAAAAGGCCCAGCACAGAGCTGGAAAGAGGAAGAATGTGCTGGCCCCAAAAAAACAAGCTATCGGGGCTTTTTAAAAGGAGGTTGTAAAAATGGCAGGTACAGTTGAGAAACTGCTGCATCTGCTCCTTTCTTTCTTCTTGGCAGCAGGTAGATAACAAAAACTGCAAGGACGTCAAAGTCCAAGAGTTGGCTCTCCTGCCTTTCCTTGGAGAAGGGATTATCACAGGAGATGTGGTTGAGGCTTGGCGCTTGCACCCCGCTGTTCACTCAGGAACTGTTTGGCTGTTAAAAGTAGGTTCTCAAAAACAAAACAAAACAAAAAAACCTCAAAATTTCGAAAGAGAGAGATTTACATCTCTTTTCCCTTCATTCAGCTCTTTTCAGAAGTTGTGCAAAACAGAACTCCTGGCCTGTTAGTGTGAGAACTCATGGGATTGACCTTTAACCGTCACTGGGGAATTGTGGGATTAGGTATTTTCCTGGTGTGTTTGCAGGGCCGCCCCTTTCGCTAGGCCTCCCGCCTTCTGGGTGCAGGCCATAGAGGAGAAGCCTCTCCTTTAGATGTACCCTGTTGTCACCTGCCCTGAACCGGCCTTCACACAGTCCGCACTGGCTCTTTTCTGCGCTTTGCTTGAGTTTTCTCTCAAGGAAAAGGTAGGTCTCTCCACACCAAGTCCCAGTCCTGCATGGCCTTTAAAAGGATGTATCTATTAATAGGATGGTGGACTTCTGCCCCCTCCTGGTGACTCGTGGGCATTGCCCCCACAGCTAATCCAGCCATCAAACTCCACCAAATCCGTTTCTTCTTTGAGATCATTTTCTGTCTTGAAGGTAAGTATTCTGAGGAATTTTTTTTTTTTTTTTGCAGTTCTTACTGTGTCCAAACAGAATAAAAATCATGATATCATACCATGAACATCAGACTAAAAGTCAGGAAACCTGGACGGGATCCATTTGTGTTTTGTGAGATAATGGGCAACTCTTTCAGCTTCTTCAAGCCTCAGCTTTCTTATTTGTAAAATGGTTATAATAATTTTACAAAGTATGGAGGGACAGGAAATATTAGAGAATGTCATAGAACTGTGACCGAGGAAAGTCTCCGTTAAATATTTATTAATACTCATGGCTTTGTAGGGGTGTCACTGTTCTTCCGCCTACAGGAAATCTCCTGAATTCAGCTCAAATATTTCAAAGAATGGTAGAATTGGAAGGCAGTTAAAAGCAGGCCACAAAGTGGTTGTAAGAGGTTCCTTATAAGGTATGTTAAAAGTAGTCAACACTCCATCTAGTGCTTGAAACCTCACAAAAGGCTTCAGGCGGGACACTCGCCATTTTGGGAAGCAGCCCATCCCCTCTTGGCGGGGTCTGCCTGGAGCAGGCTCTGTCTCCCTCACGGACCACACCTGCTGTGGCCAGGGTGAGGTCAAGGGGCAGGCTTGGGCATATGCTATTAATATTTTCTGCCAAAATTCATCAAGTTTACTCTTCAGGGGATTGATTTAGATTGGGGGCTGCCTGATTTTGCATTTATTAAAATATCTCATTCATGAATTCCCTCACTTTGAAGTTTCTTTTGGAGGAATAGGTGCCATAACCATGCAGGTGTTATGCGTCTCTCTTGCTCTTTCCATCCCTGCTCTGTATGAAGTCCAGCCCAGCTGACCGACACCTGCAGCACGGAGGTCAGAACCAAGACCAGCGAGAGGCAACTTGGGGGCAGGTGAGCCTGGGTGGGGTAAGGACTTAGGGAAGGGGCCAGCTGAGGGCATCTGGGAGGAGGGACACACAAAGCAGGCAGCTGGAGAAGCAAGCAGGAAGGGAGGAGGAGGCTGACTGTAGTTACCTGACAGTTTTTTGGCGGAGGAGCTGCTGAAAATCATCTCACACTTGCCACTTGTGGGGCAGGCTTTGCATTCCTGCATTAGGAAGTCATCCAGTCTGGAAGGGTACGCCCCTCAGCCATGCCCATTCAATTCAAATCTGAGAACCAAGTGACTGCCAGGCGGCTCCTTGTGTTCCTGTTTAATCCACGTACTGTGCCCTCTGGAGGAAGGGAGGGGATACGCAACAATGGGGTCACATGGGCAGGTCCCCCTTTCCCTCTTCTCCTTTTATTTCTATGTATAGAGGCAACATTTCTCTGTTTCACAATTTGTGGGGCCTCTAGATAGAATTAATTCTGCTTATTTTATTTAATTAATTAATTTATTTAGAGACCAAGTCTTGGTCTGTTGCCCTGGGTAGAGTGCCGTGGCATCAGCCTAGCTCACAGCAACCTCAAACTCCTGGGCTCACACAATCCTCCTGCCTCAGCCTCCCGAGTAGCTGGGACTACAGGCATGTGCTGCCATGCCCGGCTAATTTTCCGGAGAGACGTCTCACTCTTGCTCAGGCTGGTCTCAAACTCCTGAACTCAAGCAAATCTTCCGCCTTGGCCTCCCAGAGTGCTAGGATTACAGGCGTGAGCTACCACTCCCATCCTAATTCTGCTTTATAAAAATCTCCCCTGCTAGACTATGTGTACCTTGAAGGCAAGAAGTGCAACTGATCTGCTCATTCTCTGGAGCCTCACACAGTGTCTGGCATATGACAGGTGTTTAAAAATGTGTGTTGAATTTAAATGAACAGCAAGGCATCTGAATAGTTTAAAGTTGGAAACTTGACATCATTTAGTCTAGTGGTTTTCAAACTGGAGTGTACATTAGAATCATCTTGAGAGCTTTTAGAAAAACGTATTAGTGCCCTAGTCCCTCTTTAGACCAATTAAGTCAGAATCTCTGATAGTCAGTTTTTCATGGTTAAATGCCCAGAAAGAGCTCATTCCTTGAAGGCATGCTGCAGTGGGAATCCTGTTCAAACCAGAAATCACTTTGTAATGCCCAATACGTAGCCATTGTACTATGTTCGAGTTATCATATAATGAATTTTAAGTTGAGCCCACATGCACAAGATATATAGAACTTGGGTTTGGTTTTTTTTTTTTTTTCAAGTGGTTGGGAGCTATAGAAAGAAAAAGGTAATTTTCACTGAGTATTCAGAAGCTAGCCCATGTGTGGAATGGCAAAAGATTCACCGCAACATCATAATGGTTGATATGTCATACTAAAGAAGACAAATAAGCCAAAGAAGATAGAACAGGGTGAGAGAAGGAAGCCTCCCCACCTCTGCCAACTCCCACCCCTCACCCAAGAGTCTTGTTGTGCTGCCGCCTTTGGAAATCTATATATAGCTGAAAGTCTTTCTGTTTAAATGGATCAAGAGTGATAAAAAAAATCTCTGTGGGTTTTAATTAGATTACAGTGTCTGCTAAGAGAAGCTTGCTTGGCCTGCATCTTGCCTGCAAAGACCCAGCTGCATGCAGATGTCAGGGAGAGCTTAGATCACAGGCCCCAGGATGGGGTGGGGATGGTGAGGGAGAACCCACACCTGACTGTAGCCCCTGGCCAGCAGTGTGGACCCTGTCTGGGAGCTCACTTGACCTACTGAATCTGAATTTGCATCACAGCAAGATCCTGGATGATTTACAAGCACACCAAAGGTTAAAAACACTGCCTTACCCAAACCAGCCGCTGTCGGATGATTGCCATGAGCTTTATATGGAGAGGATAGATCTTTTCTTTCTCACCGCAGTAGCCAGTCTATAACTCTTCCAATATTTTCAAAACTTTCTGAGCCCTCCTGACCTTTTCTCTTTATAGGGAAAAGAAAAAAGAAATGAAATAGCTGTCATCAGTGATTCGAGGCCCCAAGGGAGAGAGGAAGAGATCAAAAGTCAACATCTGTGATTCTGCAAATAGAAAATGAAATGTTTCCCAGGCAGAAGTGGTTCTAGGTTGCTTGGCTGGTCCCCAGTGATACCATTTGAGATGGCTGTGCTCAATCCAGAGCCTTTAAAGGGCACCCCAGAGCTGGCTGGCATTGGGAAGCAGGAGTGCTGAGCCAGCCTCCCAGGGAAAACTAACGTATGTGTGGAAAAGCCTGGGGAACAGTGGAGCCAGGCACAGAGAGTCCTCTGCTCCCTTGGAGACCTTAAGGAGGAGCAGGTTGAAATATCACCTTCCATGGGACAGTTTGTACAGGTAACTTTCCAGTTACCCCCCCTGCCCCCAGCTCTGAGCCAGGGCCTTGTCGTTCCTGTATCTGGGGACTGGGTCTATCTGGGATGCAGGAAATAATTTAGAGTCCTGAACCTTCTTGCTGGGGTTCCTGTCAAGTTGTTTCTCAGCCAGAAAAGCCAGAGTGTTGTGGAGGAATCAAGCAGTCAGCATGCTGGGGTGGGTAGGCATGTGGTAGGCACGGTGTGTGGGCATTAGTTCTAGAGACTGAGGTCTCCTAGAAACCCCTGTGACCAAGAGGCTGCAACTGGCTTCAGTGAGCTCCTCCTGTGGACCAAGCAGGACACGAGAGCCTTTGCAAGCTTCCTTCCTGCCGCTCCCATGAGGAACCCTGCAAGGTAGGCAGTTGCCCATTTTACAGAAGAGGATGCTGAAGCTCAGAGGGGATGAGTACCATCCCCAAGTTCAGACAATTAACAATAGGCAGAGCTTGGAGAGATCCCAAGGTCAGTGATCTTTTCCCCACTATTTCTGCCTCTGTATCCAGGGACTGGAAGCACCCAGTTCTAGTCCTAGCTCTTTAATTAATTAGCCCATAACCTTAAACAAGGCCCTTAGTTTCTCATAGCTTTGGTTTACTCATTTTAGAAAATGGAAATATTAATAAACTTCTGTTGTAAAGTGCTTAGCATGTAGCAAATCCTCAATGGATACTAGTTTTCTTTCTTCTTCCTTTTAAAATAAAGGAACTGGCCTTAGCATTGAGTTGTAAGTCATGATTTAAGGCTGTTTCTGGCCCTGGAGTAGACTGACCATCCTCGGGCCAGGGCCAGGCTGCAGTGATTGCCAGGAACCTCAGCAGAGCACCTGCGCCAATCAGTGGCCATTGCTCTCCACCCCTGAATGCAGCTCCTCACCATCATACATGGCTCTCAGGTCTGCATGCCCTTCTCCTCCACTTAGCCAGAAGACCTTCAAGGAGACAGGATCACCTTGGCCCAGATGCAGTCTACTTTTTCCTGCTCTGAATTCCAGCCAAGAGCAAAAATCAGATGTACCAGCCTTGGGAACATTGGTTCCTCAGCCCCCTGGCAGCACTCCCAGCCTGGAGGGATGTAAAACCCCTGGGAGGAGGGAACCAGGTCAGAAAGGTCCCTGGACCCTGCCATGATGTGTCCTCTCCAGCCTGCATCTCCTCTCTATGGCCAGGAGAACACACACCTAGAGTGGCCAGGATCTAAGCAAGACTGTAAATATTAATGTACTATTATCTGTGGATTATTTAATTATGGTTTAATTTGTTTCTTTGTTTAATATTTTCTGTTTCCCATGTTTTCTTGTCAGAATTAAAACCATATATTTGTTAGGAGAGAAAAGTCAGTTTGTATGAAAGGGAACTTATTAAACTCCATCCAATCAGTGCCCATCATGAAGGGTCCTAGGTGGCTCCATCAGTTTGCAGAAAGAGCTCTGAATAGGGAGCTAAGAGCCCAGGGTATCAGGCAGACTCAAAAATACAGCCTTTACTGTCTCCCTCTGTATCTGCCTTTGCTGCATAACAAACCACCCTCGAAATCTAGCGACTGAAAACTACAATAATGTCTTTAGCTCGTGATTCTGGGCCCAGTTGGGAAGTCCTTCTGGCCTGGGCTAAGTTTGGCTGTTCCCACCTGGACACACTCAGATCTGGGGCCTCAGCTGGAGTGCTCTGGGCTGTCCCTCCACTTGGCCTCTCTTCCTTTAGGCTTATCCTGGGACTAGCAGGACTAGGTTCTAAGACAGACCTGAAGCTACAAGGTCTCTGGAGGCCTGGGTGCAGAACTGGCAAGCTGCCACTTCACTGCATGCCAAAGCAAGTCACAGGCAGCCCAGATCCAAGGGGTGAGAAATAGACCCTGCCTCTTGACAGGAGAAGCTGAAAAGTGCTGTGACCACATTTGTAGTCTACAATATTCATGTTCAATGAAATTACCATTTCTGTGAAAATAGCCAAGGATAATATGGGGATTTTAAAAAAATATATACTTTTGTTGAATTTTGAAAAAGATCTGTGGGAATGTCTACCTAAACAGTATTAGTCCAGCAGGGCCTTGTCCATTAGCACTGATGGAATTATTATATAAGTTAAACATGGTATATATATAAAATATTTATAACAGTGCCTGGCATATACTAAGCACTGTCTAAATATTAGTTATCTTGGTTATTGTTGATGTTTTATATATTCTGTGGTGAGCTCAAATCCTAAACCATGTTTGTGGAAGAGAGGGGCTATTTCTGCCACCTGCAAGGACTGCATCCCAATACCCTTGCTCTCAGCCATGATTGGAGAACACTCAGATGTCTACGTGCACTCTTGGCCCCATCCCTTCCCACAGGGGTCAGGTTCTTGCTGAAAATACAAGTCTATCCTCAAAGGGATTTGTGTCTGTACCAAGAAAGCCCTTGACCAGGAGCCCTGGACTTTTACCCACACGGGCACACACTTGGACCCTAAAAGCAGGGAAAGACATGAGCAGTGGACCTAAGGAGACCCAAGGGACTCTGACCCTGGCTGTACACCTGTATTAGCTTGGCCACATGCCCAAGGGAAAGGTCATCCTTGGGAGGGTTAGACGAGTTTGGAGACTATGTATTATGCCACTTTAGCTAAAACACTAAGGAATTTTCAGAATTCTCTTTCTTGTACTGTTCTAAGTCAGGGTAGCCACAAGAGAAATTCGTCAGATTTGAAAGTGGTAGTGAAATAGCCATTTCTCTGCTCTGCAGGTTGATGTGGCTCATACGCGCTGTTTCTGATCTTCCGGCTCACCTCGTACATGTGCAGCAGCTGACTCCACGCTCCTCATTGCTTTTGTGGAATCTTCTTCTGCTTCTCCAAATGCCAGGCCAGCTCATGTGTGGCTCTGCAGCGAATTAACTAATCCTGCAGGTCACCTGCACCATGGAAAGGGAGTGAGACACATGTGAGTTCCAATTTGTCCGTGAGGGTCCCATTGTCTCTGTGGACTGTGGCTTGTTCTTGCTGTTCCCCATGTAACATCCCCCTTCCCTTCCCAGCTGCCAGCCCTGCTGACTCAGGCCCAACACTGGACATGGAAACAGCTGCCTATGTACATTGCTTAATCAGCTCCCACAGTCGCACCCCCTTCCCTAAATGTCTTCATTCTACATCACGTAAGTGGTTCTGTGATTTTGATCAAATGCCAATTGATTGGTGGGAAGCCCAGTGACATACAGTGACGAGAGCTGGGCTGTGATCTCAAGACACACTGCAAAACCCTACCTTCTTCCATGACAGCGCTTCCATGCCCTGCTCTTTTTAATCTTTGACACTCACGGTAACTTGTTCTATAGGAAAATTGGCTCAGCTTCTGCAGTAAGTCAATAGGATGGAGAAAAATAGGGGTGAAGAATAGAGGAGGGTGAACTTCTAGATTACCAGAGAATTAACAGACACAATAACCAAATACAACATGAGGACCCTGTTCAGATCCTAATTAGAATAAATCATCTTTAAAGAGACATTTTTGAGATGACTGGGAAAAGCTGATTAGAGATTAGATATTGGATAATATTAAAAAATTACTGCTCATTTTTGATAGGTGTGACAATGACACTGGGGTTCTTTAGGAAAATTTCTCATTTTTGAGATGCATACTGAAATCACAATGCTTTAAAACAGTTCAGCAAAGAAAAAAGGGATAAATGAAGTATCTTTGTCCATTTGAGGTGCTATAGAAAAACACCATACATTGAGTGGCTTTTAAACAATAAACATTTATTTCTAACAGTCTGGAGGCTGGAAGTCCAAGATCAAGGTGTCAGCAAAGTTGATGTCTGATGAGGGCCTGTTTCCTGGTGCCTTCTGGCTGTGTCCTCATGTGGTACTAAGAGCAAGGTAACTCTCTGGGGTTTCTTTTTTAGGGGCACTAATCCCATTCATGAGGGTGGATAACCCTCATGACTTAATCACCTCCCAAAGGCCCCACCTCCCAATGCCATCACCTTGGGGATTAGGATTTCAAAATATGAATTTGGTAGGGGTGACACACAAACTTTCAGACCATAGCAGGAAGCAATGTGGATGCTTTTTGATAGTTGTTGAATCTAAGTAATGGATAATGAAGCTTCTTTTACAACTTGCTGTATTCTTGTGTGTTTAAATCAGGTCATTCCCACAGTGTGGTTCTCTCTGGCATGTGGTTGGATTTGGGTGTAAGACTTTAAGCATCTCCAGTTGATTCCCTGCCTGAAAACGGATCAGGGAAATGCAAAGTCCTTGATGCTCAAGGTTGCTTTTCCCAGCTGCATCTTGCTCTACGTCTCCAGATACTTCTCTCTGCTCATGGCTCAGAGAAATTTGGCTTATGGTGTGCGCCCTGCCCTGAGGCCCTCAACCATGTTGCCTATGTGCCCCCTCCATGAAGAGGAGGCTGAATGTGCTGCTCCTGGCTGAGCTGGTGAGACGAGTATGTAGGGATTTCTGTGGTCCATGCAGAGCTGCAGCCTCCCCTCCCCCAGCCTTCAGAGAAGCCAGTCGCTCAGAGTCTTGACATGCAAATTCAATTTGTGTGGGTTTAAATGGGCAAAGACCTAGGTTTCTCAGACCTAGAGTCTGTGAATTCTATGGCTATGTGGTAGAACCATTGCAATGGGGGTGGTGGGGCAGGGGGAGGAGGCAGTGCCAGGACTCTGAGGGACTCTTCTTCATGTAAGGGTGAGGAGAAACTTCCCCTTTCCCCCAAAAGTTCTCTGAAAGATCAACTCACAATAAAGGCAGATTAAGAAGAGAAAGATTTATTTAGGTAGATTAATAAGCAAAAGGTTTGTTTACCATGTGCATGGGGAGAATCACAGAGTGATTACTCAATATCCCAGTGGAATTCAGATATTTTTATACAAGCCTTTTAGACAGGAGGGGGAGATGAGCAGTATAGGTAGTTCTGTTTAGGGGCAATAAATGGTTGCTAGGGAGGATGAATAGATGGGGGACAAAGATTGACTTGTAAATGATTCTCTTAGCAAATTAAATCAACCTGAGAGGCAAGTATTATATTTACAATGATTTGGGCCAGGTCTGGTTGCATTCTTGATCTTCTTTCCTGCAATATATTGAGATAACAGGGAGGATAAGGGAAGTCCGGCACAGGTGCACACAGAGAAGGCAGATGCTGTAGAAATGCAGTGGTGACAGAAAGACCATTCGTGATAGCCCCTGGGGGGAAAAGTGTCTTTTTTGGTTTTTTTAATTGAATATCTTCCATAAGGGCTAAATGATGGATTTTTGGGGTTTTTTTTTTTTTTTTTGGTTTTTTTGAGACACAGTCTCACTCCGCTGCCCAGGCTAGAGTGCCGTGGCATCTGCCTAGCTCCCAGCAACCTCAAACTCCTGGACTCAAGTGATCCTCCTGCCTCAACCTCCCAGAGAGCTAGGATTACAGGCATGAACCACCACACCCGGCCTGTTTGTTTTTTTAACAAAAAGCTCTATTTGATTTTTGGTCCCAGTAGACCGTCATTTGACATTCAAAACTACATCAGTATCATAAAAAGGAACCTATGGATGCTTGTAAGTAAACATTTTTGTGGAGCTGTAAAAATATTTTCTGTTGGTGAACATTTTTTGTAATCCTAGTCTAAATTAGAGTACCTGCAAGAATATAAATTTGTGATATTTCCTTCCTTTTGTAAACATCAACTTAAAATATGGAAGTAATCTTTTTTTTTTAAAAAAGTCTTGCCTATATTTATCATGAACTATTTTCATTTTGTTGTTTATAAATGCCTTGTCATTTGATGGATGTATAATGACATGTATCTGCCATGATGGTGCCAGAATAGTTTCATGGCCTGAAATGCTCTGCTCAGCCTAGTCATCTCTCCCTCCCTCCCCCAAACCCCCAGCAACCTCTGATCTTTTCACTGTCTCCACCGTCTGCCTGTTCTGCCACCAGCCCTATGAGCTAAGGGGCAGGGGACTGATGGCTCTGCAGGGGCATCTGCTGTGCTGAAGACAGAACAGTGCAGCACAGGCCTGGCTCTCAGGCTCGGCCCCCTGACCTCAAGCACCTAAGCTCTCTGCTCCTCGGTTTCCCAAAGTGCAAAATGGGAATGATTTAACCCTCACAGACAGTTGCTGGGCATTGTAAATGAAACGAGATGGGAAGTGTGTCACAGCGCAGGCACAAAGGCTGGCTTGGAAGAGACAGTCAAATGGTAGCTCTCTATGAAGTCCCTGAAATCCCCCCAAACCCTCCCAATGCAAGAGGCACGTGTCATCATTGGCTGCTAGCCCAGGCAGGAAGGCAGGAGGCCTGGGGGAAGAGGAGCAAGAGTCTCACCCTGGTCCATTCCGCCCTCTTGAATCCTGGGTTGCCTCCCTGACCCCACACTCAGTAACTGGGGCAGGAAGGAGCTCACACCTCACACCTCGCGTGGGCCTCCGAGGGTATGAGAGATAGGCTCGGGGTCCCACTGCTCATAAGAGGTGTGGGGTCATCTTCAGACGCGAAGTCCCAAAGTAAGAAGTGCAAGTGAACAGCGTGGCACAGCTCCCCGCATGACATCTAGGGCAGACGGGGTGGCAGGAGCCAGAAGGCCCCCTCCGCGCTGCTGCTCAAGGCGCAGGGCTGTCGAGGCCACCGCGACAGCTTGCCTGCCTCATCGCTATCCGTCCACAGCCCAGCCCCACAGCCCTGGGATTACTGGCCCTTCTGTCCTCAGCAGGGGGCTCTGTGGCCATGTGTGCACTTCCCTTGCAGGGTGACGTCGCCCCACACATGGGCTCATATATGTTCACGCTCCCAGGACAGAGGCGCGTGCTCAGACTCGAGCGCGCCCCCTGCCGACCTGCGTCAAAGAGCCCCCTGGGAGGGCACCTGTGCTGTGGCATAACCAGCACCGTGGCAGCCAGCCTCACTTCCCCTTTCTCCAGCTGCCATCTCTTTCCCTGCACCTGACACTCAGTGGAATCCCACCCGCTGGTCACTGTTAGCAGGAAACAGTTTGGTGACCAGAGAGGGAAGGGCTAGAACAGGCATTTTGCATCAAGAGCTGTGGGTTGGGCATGGTGGCTCATGCCTGTCATCCTAGGACTCCGGGGAGGTTGAGGTGGGAGGATTGTTTGAGGTCAGGAGTTTGAGACCAGCCTGAGCAAGAGTGAGACCCTATCTCTCCAAAAAAATAAACAAACATGCAAAAATTAGCCGGGCATGGTGGCTCGTACCTGTTGTCCCAGCTACTCAGGAGGCTGAGGCAGGAGGATTGCTTGAGCCTAGGAGTTTGAGGTGAGCTATGATGAAGAAGCCACTGCACTCTAACCTGGTTGACAGAGACTCTGTCTACTCTGTATAGAAAGAAAGAAAGAAAGAAAGAAAAGAAAGAAAGAAAGAAAGAAAGAAAGAAAGAAAGAAAGAAAGAAAGAAAGAAAGAAAGAAAGGAAAGAAAAGAGATGTGCACTGGCATTTTATTTTTTCTTAAATAAACTTTAATTTTTAGAGCATTTTTAGGCTCACAACAAAATTGAGTGGAAAGTAGAGAGTTCTCACATACCCTCAGCCCCTGCATATGCACAACCTCTAACATTATAAACATCCCCCACCAGGGTGGTACCTTTGTTACAATCAACGAGCCTACACTGACACATCATTATCACCCAAAGCCCACCGTTTATATTAGGCTTCATTCTTGGTGTTGTACATTCTGTGGGTTTGGACAAATGTATATTCACACATATCCACCATTAGATTGTCATACAGAATAGTTTCACTGTCTTAAGATTCTGCTATGATATATGTAACTTTAACATTTGTATCCCCATAATAGGCTGAAATAAAAAAAAAAAAAGAATCTGCTAGGACTACCTATTCATCCCTTTCTACATCCCCTCAAGTCCCTGGCAACCACTGATCTATTTACTGTCTCCATAGTTTTGCCTTTTCCAGAATATCATGTAGTTGGGATCACACTGCATGTAGCTTTTTCAGATTGGCTTCTTTCAATACTATTCCATTGTCTGTATTTCTCCCTTCATCCACTGAAGGATATCTTGGTTGCTTCCAAGTTGTAGCAATTCTAAATAACGCTGCTATAAACACTCGTGTACAGGATTTTGTGCAGAATACGTTTTCAAGGCACCTAATTTTTAAGAAGGTACAAGGCAAAGAAGGAGATAAAGATTTTTTCGCACATTGTGAAATAAATTGGATTCCATGATTTCTGATACCGTTTTTTGAAGGCTTGCAACCAGAATCACTTTTTACAACTTGCAATGGAGAGATGACACAGGATTTCCTCCTCTGAGAGGCTTTGCCTGATCCAAGTCTTTCTTGCCAGGGCCATAGCTTCTGACTACTCTTGTGGCCCTTACAACTCTGCCTTCCTCATCAGATTGTGAGGCCTTGAGGACAGGGAACTGCATCTTATTCACCTTTGTGTCCTTGGATTCTAGCAACTGTTCAAAAAAGTTTCAATGGTTGTGTGTAGGAAGGACAGAATTTCATCTTCCCCTACTCCAGATGTTAAATCTGAATTTATATCTGTATCTATAGTTGACTCTGTGTTTTGGCAACTCTGCTCCATTACTCAAAGGGCTTTTAAAAACTCATCCAAAATGAGTGCTTTGTGAAGCAGAGGGTGGTGTTATTCTTACTGGGATGCAAATTCCACGGTCACAGAGCAAGTGCCCAAGCCAGGAATAGAACCTGGATCTTTGGTCTCAAACCAACTCCCTCTCTTAACAGGGTCAGTCCAGTTTTCTGGAGCATCACTTTCTAGACCATTATGTTGTCACTAACTTCAGGGAGGGATAAGCTTTAGCCACTAGCATCGTTACTCTACAACATGCCAACCATTACAGTGAGTTCATTTCAGCTAAAAAGATAAAGATTGTCCAGCCCTGCTCCACATGGCTGTAAGATCCAGAGGAAGAGGAACTCAGTGCCCACTGTCTTCCCCCAGCCCAGCCTGGTTCATTTCCTTTCCCAGACTTCAGCAGAGGGTTAGGAGCTAGGTGCTGTACATGAATTACCTTGTTTCACCCTCATAGCAGGTGAGGTGCTGCTATTATCCCTCTTTTACAGATAATGAATCTAAGGATCAGAGAAGTTTGTTGACTTGCCTAAGATAGTCCATCTTGTAAATAACAAAAACAAGATTTTTGCCCCAGGTCTAACAAACTCCAAGCCATGTATGTTAGTTTCCTAGTTTCACCATCACAAAGTCCTACAAACTGGGGTGGTAGAAATATATTCCCTCTCAGTTCAGAAACCCCAAATCAAGGTGTTACAGGGCCATCTCCTTCCAAAGGCTCTAGAGAAGAATCCTTCCTTGCCTCGTTTAGCTTCTGGTGGCTGCTGACAGTCCTTGGTGCTCCTTGGCTTCTAGACACACCACTTGGTCTCTGCCTCCATCTTCATGTAGACTTCTCTCCTGTGTGTCTGTGTCTCTGTGTCCAAGTTTCCTTCTTCTGTTAAGGACATCAGTCATGTTGGATTTAGCAACCACCCTAATCCTCCTAATCCAGCATGACCCCCTCTTAACTTTATCACATAGGCAAAGACTCTATTTTAAAATCTGGTCACTTTTGCAGGTTCCAGAGGTTAAAGCTTGAATATATCTTTTTGGAGGAGACAATTCAACCCATAGTAGTGTGTTTTCTCTGTTATATTTGCTGCTTGGATGAAAGATAACTAAAATGTCAAATGCTTCACCTTCAGACATTATTTGTTCTCAGTTTTGGTCCAATACTTTATAACATGGTGAGCAGAAACAAGACTGGTTCTTGAGCTGCGGGCTATGGCCCCAGCTCTGCTATACAGTAGAAGTGACTAATCTCATTTATTTTCTCAGGGCCTCAGTTTCCACATATAGAGTATATGGAAGATAGACTAGATAGGTGATAAGGTCCCTTTCCAGCCTTAGAGACTGATGTGATGGGCTACAAAGATTATAAACACAAAATCTCAGACAGCACCCCTCCCGGTCCAAATTAAAGCTATTTTAATCCAATTCAATAAGTATTTAAGCATCTCTATGTGTCCATCTGTAATTATATTTCTCTTTCCACTATGGGGTATACTCCTTAGGGGCAGTGGTCATGGCCAGCACCTAGAGTGAACTAATGAAAGGCTTGTTAAATAAACAGCATGATAGAGTGGTAGGAACTCAGGGGACAGGGAATTGGAATGCCAAATTATGACGACTTACTCACTGGGTGCTGCTTGTGTTTGCCTTGTTTCCACAAAGGGAATGTAAGCTTCCGGCCAACAGAGCAGTCCTCTGTTCCTTACAATGTCTGAGGTAGGGCTGGA